ATATATTCTCAGAGGCAAAGTTGTAAGAGGATGTAATCACAATATCGTGGCTGAAGAGGTATGCATACCTCTCTAGTTGCGAGTATTCTTTTGCATCTCTCTGACTAGTATGTATTTTTAACGTCCATCGATGCCCATCGTTCTGGAAAACACTTCTATCCAATTTGTTAATTCCACTCGGTATATTTTGCGAATGTGATCATATCGCCCTCATGCAGTGTCATTACATTTTCTCTTAGTCTATCCTCATAGCTCGTCTCTCGCGTGCACAATAATATGATTTATCTGTGAACGTTATTTTCTCTTTGTGCTTCACCAGGCTCTTACCCTTCTCATCAAACATATATATAACATGTTTGCATATATCAAACTTCTTACGCAAACATTTTTTGCAAGATCTCCTCCCCTCCAATTGGTCATGTACACGAAGCAAGATCAGCAGTGGTCCAAACACCGGACTATTATGGAGCCTCGCTTGCCCCTTCCCTTCACCCCTGACACTTCATACTTCACTACAATCATCTGTTTCCTGTGTGTTAGATACACTCAACACCTGTCCAGTATTTTTCCAATTCTTGCAGTCTGCTTTTCCAACTTATTCATTAGCCTTTATGAGGATAGCATCACAAACGTTATAGCAATAAAGATCTGCCCATCTATCTGTCTACTGCCATATTTCGGTAACTGTCGTAGGATGCAATTAGATTCGCGAAGGATGCCTTGCCCCCTCTCAAACCATGCACTCGGTCAGGTAGTTAGTCCATTCATGTCCCAATAATGTCCCAATCCATGCATGGCTGTACGTATGAAAGGTATTGCACTATTCGTGGTCATGCCGGACGTTGAAGGTAGTTATGGTAGTTATGGTAGTGCGGTGGTACAGGTGATGGAGGTGGTGTAATGCTGGTGGTGGTGGTGGTGGTGAAGGTGGCAGTAGTGGTGTTAATGGTGGCTCTGGTGTGGCTGCTGGTGAGTCAGTCAAGTGTGGTTCCGGTGATAGCAGGCAGCTCCTGAGTAACTCACTCTCACACACACACACACACACACACACACACACACACACACACACACACACACACACACACACACACACACACACACACACACACACACACGTCTATATAAATAAGCTTGAAAGTGTGCCAATCTACGTGGTTACATGTAAATCTTGTTCGATATACTCGCTCCAAACTGAACACCGTGGTAGAAGAACACCTCCCGGGGAAGATGAGTATAACGGCGCCCTTGTGGTGCTCTCCCCTTATACATATCCGCCCCCTTATACGTACCCTTGTGGTGCCGTACGGGGGCACCACAAGGCTCTCCAAGAACAAGCACAGTTTGGGCTGTGGTAGGATCATGGGAGGTAGTGGGTCCCCATAACCCACGCTACAGGGGGAACATCTACAACTCTGTAGTGAGGTGTGTGGGTAGGCCTGTAGTGAATAATTTTGTACCCGGGCATGTACACTACTCCAAGGCCTCGTGTGTGGGAAGCATTATGTTGTGAGGATAGTGTACAGTGTCGGTGTACACTGCTAGTAGTTTACCAAGGTGTACACTGGAGGCCAGAAGGCAGCAACAAGCAACACCGCCGACTAGTCAGGAGGGAACAGTGATACGCCCATCAACAAAAATGCCTCACCCCGGAGACGGCGCCTTCCGTGTGGTGAGGCCCGGAAGAGTTTCTTTATCATTCCTTCCCCCCCCCCCCAGGCCAGTGAGAAGGGTGAGGGAGTGAGAGAATGGGGGGAGTGAGACACAGTGATAGCTACAGAGGGAGGAAATGAGTGAGAGACAAAGGTAGGGATGATGGAGTGAAAGGGTAATCCCTCGCCTCTCTCCTCTCACCTCGCCAATGTCCAGAATAAAACATTGTTTACCTCGTGTGGCACTCCGTCATTGGGGTTCAATAACACAATGATAATTAGTGGCGAAGACGCTGGTAAAGCACTTCAGAAGCCGTGAGTGGCGGCAGTAATGTGGCCACTCATCTAATTGTGCTTGCGGGGGAGCTGAGCTTCGGTTCTTTGCTCCCGCCTCTTTACCACAGAGGTGGCCACATGTTTACAGTGCTAACCACATAACCAGCGTTTTCGTCTGTCCTCTATGGACAGGGTGAGACATCTGTTAAACATATAGTTCAGGGATTTATGGAACAATCAACCACAGGGAGGTGGGGGAGGGGGGACGTGTGATGGGGGGGAGGAGGGATGACTGGAGCAACGGGGGGTGGGGGGGGGGTGAGGGGGAGAGTTGATATTGGCGCAGGGAACAGCTTTATGTTGTTGGTGTTGACCTGTGGGGGGCCCGAGACGGCTGTTGGGTGTCCCTGTCAACACTATAGCCGCTACCATTACCGTCACCGCCGCTACCATATACCACGGTCACCACTGTCAACACTACGGTCAGTACAGTCATCACACACTACCATTCTCACTATCATAACCACTGCCAACACCGCCTGTCATCACCACTATCACCACCACCACCACAGTCACTGACAACACCACCACCATAGTCTTGAGACTCCACACCATCACAGGGTGAGGCTGGCGTGGGCGGGCGTGGGTGGGTGTGCGTGGGCGGACAGGGCGGGCGTGGGCGGTGGTAGAACACAACTTGAGGAAACCCCGGTTGAACGTAATCGCCTTAGGTCTCTATCACCCGTTAACAAGCTTACCGCGCGCTGGGTCATTGTTGGAACCCGCTTGTTACGGCGCCTCCTCCACGGCCTTAAACAAAAAATAAGTCGGGTAAATTACCAAAGTGAATCTCCCTAAGTCCTCGCTTCGATTGGAGTCGTGATCCGGTTTTAGCATCGGCGAGTTGAAGTTGATATTACTGCTGGATGAGGGGAGGAGGGAGAGCCAGGAAGGTTGGGAGGGCCCTCATCCCAGCCCTCACCCTCCACCCAGCCCTCACCCTTCACCCAGCCCTCACCCTCCACCCAGCCCTCACCCTCCACCCAGCCCTCACCCTCCACCCAGCCCTCACCCTCCACCCAGCCCTCACCCTCCACCCAGCCCTCACCCTCCACCCAGCCCTCATCTTGGATAACTAGGTATTTACTACAGTATAAATTATGTGAGTTAAGGTGCCTGCGGGTGCCGAGACGTCGGCCACACGGAACATAACTAACCCGCCGTGTGCCTGGATGACGCCATCACAATATGACCACAAAACACTGCGTCACAAATGACAAGAACTGAGCCAACATTTACACAAGGTTCATTGTGACTACACCCAGACCTGACACCCAGACGACTCTGCCTGGGCTGGTTGAGATGACGACCCCCCCCCCACCACACACACACACGGGCTGAGTGGACAACAGGGGCCAGATTCACGAAAGCACTTACGCAAGCACTTACGAACCTGTACATCTTTTCAATCTTTGGCGGCTTTCTTTCCAATTATTAAACAGTTAATGAGCTCCGAAGCACCAGAAGGTTTTTTTATAACAATAACAACAGTAGATTGGGAAGTTTTTATGCTTGTAAACTGTTTAATAAATGTAACCAAAGCCGTCAAAGATTGAGGAAAGCTGTACACGTTCGTAAGTGCTTGCGTAAGTGCTATCGTGAATCTAGCCCCAGAGCTTGGGGGTCGTAGTCTTAATGGCTCGGGTTCAATTCCCGGTGGAGGCGGAAACAAAGGGGCAGAGTTTCTTTCACTCCGATCCTCCTGTTCACCTAGCAGTAAACAGGAACCTGGGAGTTCGTCAGCTGCTACAAGTTGCTCCCTGGGGATGTGTATGTTAGAGAGAACTATATATAGTAGATATAATAGTGGAAAATAGATTGGTTAGAAAGGCGGGATCCAAGAGCTAATAGCTCGATTCTGCAGACACAAACAGTACACACACACACACACACACACACACACACACACACACACACACACACACGACATACCTTATCATGTATGATAGGGAAAAAGGACCGGAGTCATTGCTGTAAACATCCGATGCTCGAAAGGCGGGATCCAAGAGTCAGACACAGATAGGTGAGTACACACACACACACACACACACACACACACACACACACACACACACACACACTAACTATAGCAATACCCTCCTCCTGCCGGTATAAACACGTCACAAGATAAGGCGACTAGAGAGATGGCCGCGCTCGATAAGATTAGTAGATTCAAGTTGTTGTTGATACAAGAGTTGCGAGTGAACATTACTTGCAAGACTTGCATACACCGACATGTATGTGGTCACCCTAAACTATATGAAGCACTCGTGTCAAGTGGCAGCAAGCCGCGTGGTAGACAGTTCCTCTCCGTGTAGGCCGTTGCATCAGTGTTACATGTGGGGGCTGAGTTGGGGTAATAACAGGGGTTACTAGAGTATCACCTAATGGGGGTTAGGATAGGCCCAGCCCCTATACATTTATCCTATTCTTACCTTATTCTTACCTTTCTCTTACCTGCTACTCTCCTCTCTTCTCACTCTCCTACCTTATATATATTTGCCTCTACCTTCCTCTCTTCTTTACGGGCTCACCATAGCCCGTGCTACATGGACATTTCGTTCTGGGTAACTAAATCTAAAACAACAAACAATCCTCTCTTCTGTCACACGACTTGATAACGGTCCACGACGGACCGAACCGTCGTCATTTCTTTACTGTCTGATACGTGATTTGGTCATCAGATCTTCAGCCACGTTATTGTCCCAACCTGTACATCTTTTCTCAATCTTTGGCGACTTTCTTAAACAGTTTAGGATCACCGAAACTTCCCAATCAACTGTAATTATTATTATAAACAGCCTCCTTGTTCTTCGGAGCCCACAAGCGGTTTAATATCTGTAAAGAAAGCCGTCAAAGGTTGAGAAAAGATGTACAGGCTGGTGCGGCACTTCACTAAACTAGTGTATATTTATAAAAAATTATTGTCGTGTGTGGGTTAAATACTCACGTTATCGAGTATTTCATTTGGAATCAGAGTAATGAATATCGCCTTTTTTTCTCTCTTATCTTCAGTGTAGCGCGAGGCGGCCGCTCCTTGCTGGACCAGGACGGACACACAGCTGCTACGGACACCCGCGAACATTGCCAGCGGAACATGAATGATGTTAACAGTGGGAGAACACTAATAGAAGAGCAGGAACACTAACCAAGAACAGAAGCTTGAACACAAAGGAATAGGAACAGCCATATTAGAACACGAACAATAACACTGAAACAGGAACACTAAAATAGGAACAGGAGCACTCTCAGAGGAACAGGAGCACTCTCAGAGGAACAGGAGCACTCTGTGAGGAACAGGAGCACTCTGTGAGGAACAGGAGCACTCTCAGAGGAACAGGAGCACTCTGTGAGGAACAGGAGCACTCTGTGAGGAACAGGGACGTTAACAAAGGAACGGTAACGGAAAGAAGAGGAATACTTGAAGAAGAAAAGAGTAGAGAAGGAGCGAGGCAGCATGCCGAGGGCCCGCTGTAGTGACGAACTCTCCGCTATTCACTCCACAGCCACCCGCAAGGATGACAGGTGAGTACCCGTGTGAACCAGGTGAGTGGTACCATGGTAGGGGTGGTACTGTACCGTGCCAGCGAGGGTTGGGGTGAAGCCGGCCCGGGATCCACTGTGTGCTTTGGGGGCTTCGTCAATTGGAGATTCTGTACGTGATTGATGGATTGACGTCTGTTGCCATGACAGAAAGGTCGCTGGTGCTGTCGCCTGTGGAGTCTTGCCAATTTGAATTGTTTTTCCAAATCATGAATATATTGTTTGTGATTTAGAAGAATAATAAATAATCTAGCCTCCTATTTTCATAGACACATCTTTTCAGTGACACCAAACAATTGATTTTTGCAATAATAATTGATTGCCGTTTTGCCCTTGCATTTTTTTTAGCGCGAACTCTCATTTAGCAATGGTTAAAAATCCTCGAAGTATATTTGAAAACATCTTAAAGCATTAGAGTTGGCTTTTAATGACGCAAGAGACAGGTGGCTGAGGTGAGGGTAGGAGGAAGTGAAGAGGTACTTAAGAACCAGCTGTCGCAGAGTAAGAGGCCTCAAGTGGTGGTGGACGAGAGGTCTTCTTTAACGCAGATGGTATCACAGATGGCGTGTGTCTGCGCCACCTTGGCTCCTCTTGGCCAACCCCGCAAGTGGACTGGTCGCGGGCTAGCCCGTCCTCTCCAGTTGTCACAACGGATCGAAAATGATGTACTAAATTGTCCCCAAACCTAACCGATGACCTGTGCCTAGAAAACCATGGTTGTTTGTGAGCCGCTGTGATATATAGTACATCATATTTCACCCGTTGGGACCATTCAAAATGCGATGTATTACTTGAGAGGACAGATTACGTGTTTGGGAAGGTGTGGCTGGTAGGGTTGGGGGGAGGTGGGGATGGCGGGAGGTGTGACAGGGAGTCCCACAAGCCCCTCCCACAAAGCCCCTCCCACAAAGCCCCTCCCACAAGCACCCTGCTACAAAGCCCCTCCCACAAAGCCCCTCCCACAAACACCCTGCCACAAAGCCCCTCCCACAAGTACACTATTCGTAACTAAGCCACACCAACTAAGTAACCCCCACTAAGCCTTTCCAACCATACACGAACGTGTCCTTGTAACGTTAGATCACGAAACAAAAAACTTCTGTATTTGTGGCAGTGAGTCAATCTTGCTCATAACAAAACCACTAATGACAATAAATTATCTGGCGGAATGTGTAATAATCACATTGCCATACACAGCCTCTTCCGTCTCCCTCCGATAAACAGTATTTTTCGCCTCTCTCTTAAATGAAATAATTCTGTAATTGGGTTGTCCTCTTTTGTGGTCGTCTGTGTCCTCGGCGCTACCAGGCTGGCTGCGACTTCGACTTGTTCTCGTAGCTTGAGTTCTATGGTTGGGTCAGTTGCGGGTGTGGCCGCGCTCACTCATCCGGACGCTGCCGACATTTCTCCTGGAAATGGATTTCGTCTGTTAGCTTTGGGGCGCAAAACCTGCCACTTCTGTTATTTCTGGTTGTTGTTGATGTTGTTGTGGGTCACAACCTGTTATTTCTGGTTGTTGTTGTGGGTCACAACCTGTTATTCCTATAATTGTTGGATCCTGTTGTGTGGGTCGGATACGACTAGGCGCTGAGAACTGACAGTAGAAGACAATACCTAAGTGCATACCCGGTCCACAATGGATCCCTCGAATGTCATTCCTTCTCTTCTCCGAGGCTAAGGGTCCTCACTAATCCAAATAAAGGTGGTGTCCTCCATATTACTGAAAGACTTTATAAACACTTTCACGATGGGTCGTGTGTAAGAGGCCTTTAGAACACGGGGAAAGATGGGGCAAGAGGGCGGGACATCAATGTTTTATTGAAACTGTCAACATTCACTCCACTTGACGGGTGATGGAGGGGAGTGAAGAGGATGGAGGGAGGATAAATGGAAGGGAGAGTGGATGATGGAGAGGGGGGGGGGATGAGAAACACGAAGGAGGGGAGGGATGGAGGGGAGGGATGGAGGGGAGAGGGGGGGGGGGCAGTTTCTGTTGGAAGAGGTCTTGAGGTGTGAGCAAGTGGCAGGCCTGAGAGTCTCACCATTATTGCTTGCTGGGTTTTAACCCAAGTGGAACCTCACACTTAAGGAGGAGATGGTAGTGGAGAGGAACCTCACACTGAAGGGGGAGATGGTAGTGGAGAGGGACCTCACACTGAAGGGGGAGATGGTAGTGGAGAGGAACCTCACACTGAAGGGGGAGATGGTAGTGGAGAGGGACCTCACACTGAAGGGGGAGATGGTAGTGGAGAGGGACCTCACACTGAAGGGGGAGATGGTAGTGGAGAGGGACCTCACACTGAAGGGGGAGATGGTAGTGGAGAGGGACCTGGCAATGAAGGGGGAGATGGTAGTGGAGAGGGACCTCACACTGAAGGGGGAGATGGTAGTGGAGAGGGACCTCACACTGAAGGGGGAGATGGTAGTGGAGAGGGACCTGGCAATGAAGGGGGAGATGGTAGTGGAGAGGGACCTCACACTGAAGGGGGAGATGGTAGTGGAGAGGGACCTCACACTGAAGGGGGAGATGGTAGTGGAGAGGAACCTCACACTGAAGGGGGAGATGGTAGTGGAGAGGGACCTCACACTGAAGGGGGAGATGGTAGTGGAGAGGGACCTCACACTGAAGGGGGAGATGGTAGTGGAGAGGGACCTCACACTGAAGGGGGAGATGGTAGTGGAGAGGGACCTCACACTGAAGGGGGAGATGGTAGTGGAGAGGGACCTCACACTGAAGGGGGAGATGGTAGTGGAGAGGGACCTCACACTGAAGGGGGAGATGGTAGTGGAGAGGGACCTCACACTGAAGGGGGAGATGGTAGTGGAGAGGGACCTCACACTGAAGGGGGAGATGGTAGTGGAGAGGGACCTCACACTGAAGGGGGAGATGGTAGTGGAGAGGGACCTCACACTGAAGGGGGAGATGGTAGTGGAGAGGGACCTCACACTGAAGGGGGAGATGGTAGTGGAGAGGGACCTCACACTGAAGGGGGAGATGGTAGTGGAGAGGGACCTCACACTGAAGGGGGAGATGGTAGTGGAGAGGGACCTCACACTGAAGGGGGAGATGGTAGTGGAGAGGGACCTCACACTGAAGGGGGAGATGGTAGTGGAGAGGGACCTCACACTGAAGGGGGAGATGGTAGTGGAGAGGGACCTGACAATGAAGGGGGAGATGGTAGTGGAGAGGGACCTGACAATGAAGGGGAGATGGTAGTGGAGAGGGACCTGGCAATGAAGGGGAGATGGTAGTGGAGAGGGACCTGGCAATGAAGGGGAAGCTGGGGGAGCTTTTGACCTCCTTGGAAGGGACTGAAGCGGTTCTGTTACTCAAGTAACCCCTGAGCCATATATGTCACCAGTCTTCCCTTAACTCCAGAAGAGGCGAATTGTTCTAAGATTATTTCTCTGTTTGCTGTGTCAAAAGCAGTTTGATGGTCAATAAATGCCGTCTGAGAGCTTGGTCACTGTCTAATACAATATTCAGCAAAGGATGATTGAGTGCTTCTTCCAAGAAGGAAACCACACAGGTTAGGAGCAAGTTGGGAGTCTAATTTGAAAGATTAACCTGTCGAGTATAATCCTCTCAAGAACTGTACACATTCAGAATTGAATCTTCGACTTATATTGGTACTAGGGAGATGGTGGTGTACATCCAGGGGCCAGGCTGCTTATACTGGCAGTGGTTGCATATTACTGAAGCAACATGGCGGCCTAGTCTACAGGTGAGTACTGAGCAAGTTGACTGCTGGGGTGAGAAATGTTTTTAATTTTATTCCACATTTGGGATGATGTTGCATGATTGATGCCTTGCAAAAACTGTTGCCAGTGCTGGCTATACACATGTTCTTTTACCTGTTTAACTCTCGGCTGCCATCTCTCAACTCCACGGACTTGTAACCCACGTTTTATTACTAAACAATTATCTCGCTGCAGGATTTCTGTTCCACATATTACAACCAAAAAGAGACACTTTACTACGTGAGAGACGGTAATAGATGTACAATATTACACGATGAAACCGCAATACTGGTATTGTGTGTATTGGAAGGGAGATGGAGAGACCAATATAAGTGGGAGAAGAAGGGTTGGGTGGAGAGCTCCACTACCGGCACCAGCCCCGCGCCTCGAAATACCACGTGTCTTTGAGTGGATCACGGGTTGTGGAACTTTTTAATCATATCGTGGTCCATGGACGCTGGTTCGATCCCGCACACCCTCCACAACTGTTCTGACAGCTGCAGTGTTTCTCAGCTGGGTGACGACGGGCCTCCCCGGGTTGTGGGCTGCTCTACAGTGCTGAGATTTCAGTTATTGACTGCTGGGGTGTGGGGCTGCTTGAGTGTAGGGGGATGTTGAGTGTGGGTGCTGGGCGTGGGTGCTGGGTGTGGGTGTTGAGTGAGGGTGCTGGGTGTGGGTGGCAAGGTGGAGGTCCTTCGTGTGGGTATACAGAGTGGAAGCGTTGGTTAGGAGTGCTAGGAGGGGAAGGGGCGGAGAGTGCGTGGAGGGGGTAGGTGGAGGAGAAGGGGTAGAGGAGGGGGCGGAGAGTGCATGGAAGGGGGAGGGGAGGGGGAGGGGGGAGGAGGGGGGGGGACGTAAGACTGGTGAGGACTCTTCACTTCATATTGAAAGTGTTGAGGGTCCCAGCAGCTGTTTGCCTCTATACATTGCTCTTGTGAGAAAACATTTCCACCTCATACGATGTACACGGCTTGGTGCACAGGTGTACACGGCCTGGTGCACAGGTGTACACGGCTTGGTGCACAGGTGTACACGGCCTGGTGCACAGGTGTACACGGCTTGGTGCACAGGTGTACACGGCTTGGTGCACAGGTGTACACGGGCTGGTGCACAGGTGTACACGGCTTGGTGCACAGGTGTACACGGCTTGGTGCACAGGTGTACACGGCCTGGTGCACAGGTGTACACGGCCTGGTGCACAGGTGTACACGGCTTGGTGCACAGGTGTACACGGCCTGGTG